CCCCGCGCCTGCCAGAGGCCATTGCTCGCGTGGGCCCCGCCCCTGCCGCAGTGTCCGTCCGGGCTGGAGAGGGCGGGCACGCGGTGCTGGGCTCGGGCTCACCGGCCTGCGGCCCTGCTGGTGCCGGGCCTCCCAGCTGGGCCTCACGGGAAGCGCGCAGAGGGCCCGGTCCCCAGCCCTGACCGCCTCTGACCCCCAGCCGACTGGCACCTCCCGGGCGAGCCCCTGCAGAGTGCGCCCCTGGTCTGTGAAAGTTGCTTCTGGCCAGTCTGCGGGAGCCAGCGCCCCTCCATGGGAGCCGGTCCGCAGTGTGGGCTGCCCTCTGGGTGGGCCCCGAGTCCAGTCACGTGAGCCCGCGCCTCCTCGGGACGGCCCTGCCTGCCTTCCGCCTCTGGCCCCCGGCTCCGGCAGCCTGTAGGGGACCCAGGGCCCGTGAGCGGTGCGCATGCTCCCAGCTCCCGGCAGCCCAGACCAGAAGCAGGCACCTCACTTCCGAAGATGCCACGGCCCCTTCCTGCCGCGGACCAGGCAGTGGGCCTTGGAACCACGGCCATGCCGGCCGCCGGCACGCTCCTGCCACCGTGCCCGGCGCTTGACCCCATGGGACCGGCCCCTCCTGAGCTCCCCACGGCAGGTGCCCAGACCTAGCTATTAGGTTACTCACTGTTTGCAAGGCGACGGGCCCAGAGCCCCTGGGCTACTTGGGGAGCCCTGGAGGCCCGAGGGAGGATGGCAGCCAGGCTCCGCAGTGCAGGAGTGGCCGGAGCCCCAGTCCTGCAGGTGAGCGCTGAGCCAGCCCCGGGCCCCCGGGCGGCTGAGCCCGCCGGCCTCGGGAGGGACAGAGACGCCCAAAGCAACGTGTAGGGGACCCAGGGCCCGTGAGCTTTGCCCACCAGCTAGGGACGTGAGACCCCCGAGGCCCCCCGTTTTCTGTCTTCCTGCGTGGTGTGGGGCACCCCACTGTCAGCATAGACGGGCCTTGCTGTTGTTGAAGTTGCGTCCTCTTGACCATGTCTGTGTAAGGCCCCAGAGGCGGGCCGCCCCTCTGCCCACTCCAGCCAGGCCGGCTGCTGCTCTCGGGCCTGCTTCAGTGTTTCCTTTTACCAGGCCGTCTGGATGCCTGGCAGCCTCCTCCAGACCGGGTGGGGGCTCCTGGGCTCTCTCCACAGGC